AGTCTGGCTTCCCAACCGCAGGCCTGCAGCTTCTCTCCTGCTTCCTCCTGCTCTCCAGGTCGACTTACTCTCAATTCATTTGCTCTCATCAGTCTGTAAGATGTCTGAGTCAAGCCTGTGTGAAGAGAACACTGCCCTTTGGGGGTGCTATATCTTAGAAAGAGCTTTGGGTCTTCAACTCAGTTTTAACTAAGAATGTGCTGCACCCTGTATAGATTTGGTCTCTCTCAGCCTCAGGAGCTCTTTCTGCTGCAGCGATTAAAGTGGACTTCTGAGAACTGCAGTCTTGTGCTCCTCACTGTATTGAGAGAAAAAATATCTCAGACTTGAACCCTACAAGCACTTAGGTTCGCAGTTGTAATCCCAAAAATTGGAGCTGAGTATTATGACCTTGTGTGATGTTGGTTCACAATTTGTTAAATCCTTTGAGGACCTCAAGGTTAGGCTGTCAGGGTCTGTGTACCCCAACACCACGCTATGTACAACAAGGCCACGTCTCAGGTCAGCCAGAGGAGAAGGTCAGTGGTTTGTAAAGTGGTTACTGAATTGCTTTGAGGGGATCCCCCAGAGAGGGGCTACAGGAAAGGGGTGCTCTGTGCCTCTCCTTACTTTCAACCAGTTAATACAGACGTTCAATCTGATGTCAGCTGATGATCTGTCACACGGGTGATAGTTTCACATAAATTGTCTAGTATGTTTGTCTAGTGGCAATCATAGGATTAGTCTGAGAATTAGTTGGTGTGTGTATGTGTAATGTGTGCAATCTAGGTTCTAAGTGCACAATAAGTATTTCTTGAAAGAAAATTGTTGTAGGTGGACATTTACATATTACAAGTGCATTGTAATATATAAAAAATGTTTCTTGTATATTACAAAGCACTTGAACTAATCCTACTGATTTTTTGCAGCTGAAGCAGTTGAAATTCAGAAAGGCAAATTGACTTCCCGAAGGTCATACATTGTTGTTGGCCAAAAGCTATTTCTTGTATTTCTCCTTTGCAAGCTCCAAAGCTGGGCAGGCTGCCAGTTCTGCCAGGCTTCGGCTCCTCTGCCTCTGGGTCAGTCCTGGCTACACGCAGACACGGTGATGCTGACCTAGCTGTACTTCCTCTGCTCTTACAACTCCTTGGTGGGTGTTTGGAAAACAAACTACTGTGCAAGTGTCTGGGACAAGCTGAGTCAAAAAGCCATATATCCTTAGTGCTCTTTCTTTCTATCAGTCTGTGAAACTCCCTCTCTTGATTTATTTATGCACTGAAGGTAGCTGGCAGAGAACACGGAATGTTCCAGTATCAGCAGAATAGAGCATCTGAGGTTAAGTCGCTGAAAACCCCATTTTAGAAGAATGTGCATTTGAGGAATTTATATCCAAAAAGGGAAGATAGCATTGGGAGACTGAGATTGCACTTTTTTTCACCTGTGAAAACATTTTTTTTTTTTTTAGAACTTTCAGGAAAATAATAGAACATGTGATTGGGAATATAGGTATCACCCTGCAGCTAGCAGGGAGAGACACTTGGGTGACCTCCAGTTCACCACTCCTTCCTTATTTGGCTTTGCAACAGATGCCAGACATGCAAAAAAAAAAAAAGTCCCTAAATTATCTCTCCCCCTGCATAAATATTCCATGCCTTTCTCAACCTTTGTCTAAAATATTGACTGCCAATTCCTGAATACCCAGAGATGCCCCCACCGGGTCTTTTTCTCTTGGTCTCTCTGCCACCACTTTACCTAGCATTTCTATTTTTAAAAAAGATTGATTTATTTATGCATACAGAACTGGGGTACAGGCCAGAGGTATGGGGGGCGGCGAGAGGATTCACCGGAGGCAGAGTGAAGAGCAGAACAGGCTGATTGATGAAGTACACTGCTGAGGGGAGCAGCGGGCGGGTCAGGGGAGGTCTGCTGTGCCATGTGGGTCACGTCCGGAGCTGGGATCAAACTCAGACGAAGCAGCTGCGGCCAGCCTGCAGTGCTGTGCTCTAACCCATTGTGCCATCAGGGAGGGCCACATTTCTGTTTCTAACCCTTGCTTCTTCTCCCACTAACTGTTCCCCAGATACCACCCTCACCCCCCCCAACACACACCAGAACAGAAATTGTTTCTGCCAAAGAGATGTGAGGACATGCACACTGAGGTTTCCTGCAAAGAAAACTTAGACCTTGTTCTGAAAAGACAAGTACATTTAACCCACAAGAACTTGGAGCCAAATAAATATGGCCTCTCATGTTGTTCAATTCCATGTCCAGAGTTGTGATGTAACCGTTCTTCTCAATGACTGTATATGCTGACGTCTTAAATTTTGCCTTTGCTTGTGTGCCTAAGATTTAGAGAATAGTTAGCTTCTCCCTCCTGCCCAAAGAGAAAACCTAAGATACTGTGGAAAGCATGCCTGAAGGTATTAATTAGTAATATATGAGGCTAAAGCCGTTTGCTGTCTTCGATTGTCATTTTGATTACTTATTGCAGTGAAGATATGGAACTTGGTCTCAGGCAAATCAGGTAGGGATAATGGTTGTCACTGAGTACTGACAAAGTCATGTAGCACTTGGGGCTCTGAAATGACATGAGGAAGAGGTTTGACCCTTTTCAAAATTTGGCAAATATTTACCTGGTTAAGCTTCACCCCAGGACAGGTCCCAATAACTGGTGGGTTAATAACTAATCATTCTCTAAAAGGAGCTCTTTTGCCTCAGATCAGGCTTGTAGGATGTATATTTATAAAATGGAACCCACAGGGATTAGTCTTCACAGTGGTTAGTCAGAGTGGGGGGGATAGGGGTGGAAAGGGGGATTGTCTTTTATTTATCCCTCACAGTGCCTTTGTTTTGTAAACCCAGCCATAATATCTTGCCATAAAGGTGCAGCTAGATCTCCCTTATTTAATGCATCTATACATTTTGTTTGTCCTATTTAGGATGATCTGTTGCCTGTCTTGCTAAACTGAATTCATGTGAAAGTATAGCTCTGCCCTCAGAGAGATGCACTTCTAGCTTACAAGTGCGATCACTTCCGACCACTAACTTTCTCTAGGGTGGTATCGCCCTCTGTTTGGCTTGAGGCTGAAGTTGTGAACTTAATGGCTGATGCAGATGAAGCTAGATACACCTCTGGGGCCTGGGGCCTGTGGATCCCCCTAAGTCACAGGTTCTGTGGCGGAGGTAGAGATGTTGGAATAAAATCAGGAACCTCTTAGGAAGGAGAAAGAAAGGAAAGCAAGCTCAGTAGGCAGCCAACGCTGTCAAGCACAGTGAGTGTTTTCCGCAATGGCCAAGGTCATCTTTTTTATTCCTTAAGTATAAAAATACTTTCAGCTTTTTTAAAGGCCTCCAACACAATATTGATCCTTTAAAAATTCATTCCCCCAGATGATGCTTTGGTGATATCCTTACCCCCACCAGGGAAGAGTTGCTCAAAACTGGGCTTCCTGGCACTCATTTGCGTATTCCCAGAGCCCTTCTCTGTCACAACAGGCACAGAATGAATATTTGAAGGATAACCACATGCAATTTCTTCTCTAAATTCCCCCAGGACTCAAGGACCATAAGCCAAAGAGCCTAGTCCATAGTCACCTCTGTACTAAGGACACTTTTACCCCATTTTCAAAGCTGGCACGTGGCTTCTACTACTCAGTCTTTGAACTTGCTGCCTCCTCCTCCTTGTGATTATACTAACTGGGTGGTCCAGGGGAATCTCAGAATCATTATTTTGATCACACCTGCAGTCCTTTTGCCATGGAAGGTAACATTCCTGGGTCCTTAGCAGGGTCAGGGGCCATTACCTCCTGCCACTGTCTCAGGCCCACATGATAATCCCATCAATTTCACCTCCTTGCTCATGTAGCCTTCTGTTTACACAGAGAGAACATTCGGGTTTTCCCTGTGCTTTCTCCTAATAGCTTTCTTGAATACAACTTCCTTGATGTGATAAGGGATTAATGGCTCCTGTGTTTGGGCAGACTGGGGCTGATGGATGTTCAATGTTCACACACAAGTGTGACACGAGATGACATGGTCACTGCATCCTCACTGCGGAGGGTGTGTGGGGCTGGAGGTAGGGGGAGGCGGGTGAGAAGATTCACCACAGATAGAGGGGGAGCAGAACAGGTGGACATACTGAAATACACTGCTGAGGGGAGCAGCGGGGAGTCAAGTGAGGTCTGCTGCACCATGTGGGTCACCTCTGGGGCCAGGGATCAGCTCATGCTGCCGTGGCTGTGATAGCTTCACAGTGCTAAGACTTGTGTGTCACCAGGGAGGCACCCTGGAAAAGTAAAATTCAATAGCTGACTGGTCGCTGGCTTGGCAAATGACTCACCAAAGAGGATGATTTTGTTTAAGAGGAAAAGAAGACTGGTTGGAGTTCCCATCTGAATTCAAGATCCACTCAAGTCTGCCTGCTAGGGAGGGCGGGTGCACAATGATACTTATGGTTTAAATCTAGGTTCTTTTCAAGCTGAAGTGTTAGATATACTGAAATTAAGAAAAAGGATGCCTTGGCCCTCCCTGGTGGCGCAGCGGGTTAAGGCACTGCACTGAGAAACTAAAGCCACTTCCGCATGAGTTCGATCCCCGCCTGCCCCGGAGGTGACCACATGGCCCAGCAGACCTCTCCTGACCCGCCCGCTGCTCCCCTCAGCAGTGTACTTCGATGATCTGCCTGTTCTGCTTCCCGCTCTGTCTCTGGTGAATCCTCTCACCCTCCGCATCTCTGGCCTTTACCCCAGTTCTGTATGAATAAATAAATAAATCTTTAAAAAAAAGAAAGAAAAAGGATGCCTTGTATTTAATAAGAAACTGCTATGCGGGAGACTGAGTTTGTTAATTTATCTGAATTACCTTTGTTAATCCTTATGGCAGACGGAGGAGGCAGCTGTCATTTTGTTATAATTTTTTAGATGGTGAAAGTGACTGATAGAGCAGGTAAGAGGTTTTTAAACTTGCCCTACAGTGACATGTTCTATGAATTCACAGTCTTCTAACTTTTGCCTTGTAGGCTTATGTACAGAAGTACATTGTGAAGAATTACTTCTACTATTACCTGTTCAGATTTTCAGCCGCTCTGGGTCAAGAAGTATTCTACATCACATTCCTCCCGTTCACCCACTGGAATATTGATCCCTTTTTATCCAGAAGGCTGGTCATCATATGGGTTGTAAGTACTGCTATTACACACACTGCTACTTCTACAACTACCTGTTTAGGTATTTAAGTACTTTTATCACTTTATCATTGAAATTTTGACCTGGTTTCCTTGGGAAAAAGAATGGGAGAAATAAAATGCTCAAAGGGGATTTGTTCTGTTTACAAAAATCAAGCAAACCTGTAACTTCATGTGTCATTTACCAGGACCCTTAGGGCTCTCAAAGCCCTGTGCCAGCATTTGTTTGCACTGAGTTCACACCCAAAGGGATCAGGTTGGGTTCAACCAACCCACGTTCATAATTGATTAAGCCCATGAATGTGGAGTTGGAGGACAAAAAACAACCCACGTGTAATCAGACCAAGGGCCAACGGTGCTTTGATGTCCCCTCCTTGCAGGGGGCTAAAATGAGGGGCTGAGGAGAAAGGGCCTTTCTGACATCCACACAGGGCCCAAAATGGATCCTTCCCAACAGTCTATTTTAGTAAAATCTGATCAAACACTGAAGCCAGACACTGCTGGCCGATCATCTCAGCAGTTGATGATTCAGCTCCACATACAGGGGATGGACAAAAACAGGGAAGGTGGCCCCTGCCTGGAGGGAGGCTTCAGTGGAGAGGGGAACCCAGCTTACACGAAGCCTCCAGGGTTCCAGGAGGAGGCGGGCCCTCCTTGGAGGTTTTGAACTCAACCCTTTTGTTGTTCCTTGTTCAGAGAAGTTCTGAGTCTGGTTTTTATTCTCATTTTTTTGTTTGTTTCTAACCAGAGGAGATGGAGGCTGTCTCTGAGGAGGTGAGGTGTGCGTGCTGCACATTTTCACTCATCCTGAGTCTTATCCTCCACCTTAGGAAGTAGCCTTGAGACTGTGCTTCTCTCCAAATCATGGTGAAGCCACACAGATTGTTGCAAAGCTCTGGCCCCGCCAGCAGGGGGTGTCTCCAGGTGCTGACTGAGCATGACAATGCATAGTGACGGTCTGTGATGGCCAAGGAGTCTTCAGGACCCCCCAGTTCTAAGGTCAAAGATTGTTTAGCTTTAGAGGGACAAGGCTGTCAGCTGGCTCTCTCTTCAGCAGGTTGTCTCCCTAGTTCAGGATTCCACCCTGAAAATAGAGGTTCTGAGACGTTCTGCTGTGTGAGAGGGTCTGGGTCCTCGTGTGGCACTGCTCTGAGAAGCTGTGTGATCTTAGGCAAGTGACTTGCCCACTCTGGGCAAATTTCCCTCAATTGCAGAACAAGTTAGAAAGGCCTTGATTCAGAGCCACAAACAGGGACGAGGTGAATGAAGTCCTGATTGGGTACAGGGACAAGGGTCGGGGAGTCCTTGGCAATCAGTCTGGCCATTGTTGCTGCTTGAGGAAAATGGGCCTAGAGTTGCTCGACCTTGGCTGAACCTCTAGCTTTTAAATATAGGTTTACTTTTTTTTTTTTTTTTTTTGGCATAGAGCTGGGGTGTACGGCAGAGGTGCAGGGAGAGAGAGGACTCATCAGAGATAGACTGGGGGGAAGAGCAGGTGGATTTACTGAAACACACTGCTGAGGGGAGCAGCAGGAAAACAGGAGAGGTCTGCTATGCCATGTGGGTCAACTCCCTGGCTGGGGAATGGGGATCGAACTCAGGTTGTAATGGTGATAGACTGAGCCTTAACCACTAGGCCACCTGAGAGCTCTAGGCTTACATTTTCAGAACATTTTTTTCCCAACCAAAGAACCCTTCCAGTTCAAACCCAGGAGCCCTGGCTTGATCCCTCTAGCCTGAAACAACCAAGGACCCTTGGGTTTATGGTTAGGACTGTTTGGCCCCAAATTCTTCCTACTTTCTCCTTTGGCTCTGAAACTGCCACCTTTTTCTTTCTACACCTCTCTCCTTGCCTTTCTTGTCTGAACAAGACAGCCGTGATGTGTGCAAAGGTGCATGTCAGCGTGACCCAACTGAGCCAGGGTTTACATTTGCCCAGCAGTTCCACCCCGGGAGAGGGGTGGGCGAGGGGTGCAGATACTGGCATGGGGCATTCCTTTGGAAGTAAATAAAAAATTTTCTAGGAAAATGCACAAAAGGCCTTAATTCATTACCTGTCATTTATTTTCTGAGATATAACATGTATATATAAAATCTCCAGTTTTTATGGTGGGTGCATGAGGCGGATAGTGCTTGAAAAGCGAAATACTTGGCATGAGCTGGGGAGTCACAGGTCTGTCATCTCTACAGAGAGTGGGACCTGTCAGAGGGGCTGAGCCCCAGGGAGGCACGGTTAGGGGACTCTGATTGTCCTCCTTGGTGGTCATTTCATGCTTTGGAGTCCTGGTTCCAAAGTGCTCCAAGGATTTCCCATGTAAGATAGAGTTATTAGTCTTGCCAGAGAGAGCAAATATAACCTTCGCCTGAGGAAGGAAAGAACGACCTTTGTGCGGGAGATTCTCCTGAGGCTTGGTGGCCTACTACCGGTTTTTAAGAAGGGGTGTCTGGCTATTTCGCAGGGCCTTGTGCTGAGAATCTTATAGTTACCCAGTGTGGTCAGCTATAGCTGGAAGAGAGTGGCCATTCCTGATAGCTCCAGGTGGAGAGAAGTCCAAGGCTTGGGGGAATGGGAACAGGCAGCAGGAGAACTTGTGTGTGAAAGCTTGTGTATGTGAGAGCGTGTGTGTGTGAGTTTGTGAGAGTTGTATTGAGTTCGTGGGTGTGTGAGAATTTGTGTGAGAGAGATTGTGTTGAAATTTTGCGTGAGTGTGAATATTTGTGTTTGTATTTGTGTGTATAAGATGTGTGTGAGAAATTGTATTGAGAGTTTGTGTGTGAGATTGTGCTGAGAGTGTGTGTGTGAGAATTTGTGTGTGTGAGATTGTGTGTGTGAGAAATTGTGTGAGATTGTGTGTGAGAGATTGTGTTGCGAGTTTGTGTGTGAATATTTGTGAGAATTTGCGTGTGTAAGATTGTGTGTGAGCTAGCGTTGAGTGTTTGTGTGTGAAAGTTTGTGTGTATGAGATTGTGTATGTGAGACATGCTTGCCTGTATGAGGGATTGAGTTTGAGAGCATGAGAGAGGTGGGAAGGGGAGAGGAGGTGAGAGCTCTGGCTGCAGTGTTGAGGGTGGGTGAAGGGAAATGCCCCCTGGCCCTGGGTTTTGGAGGGAAGGAGGGGAGCAGGTGAAGTTCTGAGCAATCAGCTTCCTGCCTGGGCCCGGCTCCCCTATAAGGGATATCCGTAAATTAGTCCTCTTCAAGTCTGGGGATTAAGAAATGGCAATTACATAAGGAGCAGCATTTGAAGACTTGTACATTTAAGACATCTTATCTCACCCAAATTTTTGAAAGGCAGCTGCCTTCAGGAATGCCAGATCTTGTCAAGTTTTATTAATTCGACAGTTGTCAGTGGAGGAAGTCCCAACAGGTTTTCTTGCTTTTAAAAATCATTTGTGGCATCGGGATGACTCCATTAAAAAGGCTTTCTTGTCCAGCTTGTTCCTTCCTCTGCAGTACATGCTGGATTCAGCTTTCACTCACATCGAAGTTCGTCATCCCATTTGCTCTTCATTACAATGGGTTACTATCATTTTCATCATTTTATAGGTCAGAGTAGTAAGATTTCCAACAAGAACACACCATAGCCTCTGGGGAGCCCTTAGTATAGACTCCTGCCCCTAGGCTTCTTGTGGTGCTTGACATACTTTGCCTCACTTAATCCTGCAGCAGTCCTGAGCGGCATTGCCAGCCCATGTTCCAGATCAGGAACTGAAGTGTAGAAACGATGCCACACAGACGCCTTAGTTTCCCTCAGCCAATAAAAGGAAACAGTTTGAGGAGAAGGAAAATGGTTTAATTTGCCGACAGACTGAGGAGGGCAGCAGACGCACGCCTGGATGAGCTTTCCTGCTTTTGGCGAGGGCAGGGGGACTTATACAAAGGGGTAAAACAAAAGGGAGGTGCAGGAGGGTCAGCGTGTCCCTGCGATGCAGCAGATTATTGCGCCAGCTTGCTTGTTAACGCCTGGTGTTTCGCTCCCTTAGATGTTTCACTTCCTTACTATCCATCCGCTTAGGGATGGCCTTCCTTTCCCCCAGAAAGCAGAAGACAAGCTTGTTAAATGCAAGATGGGCATGCCTCTCTGAGGGGACAGGAAGAGAGACCTGTCCTGTCTCCCTGCCTCAGAAAGGTTAAGTAACTGGTCCAGGATCACTTTGGTTGGAGCCACAGAGCGGATGAGCGAAATCCAGTGCCAGAGAGGGGCGTCCTTGTCATTGGTGTTTAAGTGACAGCCAAAGTGTTTACTGTCCACTTTGATATGTTAAAGCTGAGGCTTGAAGTATTAAAATTCCAAGATTCTCCCCCATTGCATGTTTGCTCAACTTTTGTTTCAGCTCTGCCCTCACAGCATTTGTTAACTGTTTTATGTCTCTTACATCCCGTTCTTGACAAGTTAAAGGTGTTTTATCCCAGAAAACTTAGATAGATTTAGAAAATTTAGATTAGCTGAAAGACATCCATCCATCTCCTCATTTTCCCATCTCCTGTCACTCATCAAGGGTTTAACCTGTCATTGCTTTTTGTCACCAAGATCTCTGCCTTTGCAAGAGAAAAGGCACGAATGATTTTCACGTGATTAGATGCTCATAAAGAGTTCAGAGAGTTGTGTGGGACTGAGTGACTATCATTTCTATTCCAGCCCATCAAAAAATAAAATAGAAGCTTTAAAATCGTATTGCTGTGTCTCAGAAAGGCCAGAATATCCATGAAACGACTTGGTGTTCAGTTTGTAACAGGGAAAAATCGCACTATTTGCTAAGTAATTCTCCATTTAGTGAAATCGCACATTTGATCCTGGTAACATTCCATTTCTTATGATTTACTAACTTATATCCTATGTCTTTCCGCCGATATTTCATGACATTCAAAATGAGATGCAAGAAAAAAAAAAGTAGACAAATCAAAACTAGGGGGGAAGCAGATACAAGACAAAGACCTAGTCTAATGTTACAAGCAGCTCACTGACTCAGAGGTGAGCCACAAACTTGTCTTG